TAACGCTTGGGCTATGAGGCGACCGAGTGACTCAGTGAGACATTGGCGTTGAGTTTGGAGCTACCGAGTCGCTCAGCGATACGAAACATGCGATTGGTACTCGAAGATATGAATAACAGACATCGGGCTGAAGGTAAAACAAAATGGGCTTTACGTACGGCCCATAAAAAACAAAATCCAGATTTCGATGTTTAATTCGTTACTCTTTGGAGTGGAACTGTTCTTGAGGAATGTGTAATAAATATATTCCATCCGTTTCAAAATATATGTTGTTTTGCATGTTTTTTTATGTTTTAAAATATAAATTGTTTTGATAATTTTAGGTATTATTTAATTTTATTAATTATTGTGTGACCAATAGTATTTTACAGTCGTTTTTTGATTGGTTAAATTATTTTTATTATATATATAAAATAATATTTTTTAAAAGAAAAATAGTTTTTAAATATTCGTATTTTTAGCCAAAAACAAACTTATATTTTGAAACGGAAGGAGTAGTCCACACTTAAATGTAACCGAGTTTTGCTTTGAGTTGCTGGTTATCAGTATCTTGTATAGTCTTCTTTGTAAGCTGAGAGAGAGAGAGAGATATCATAAACGGATCTGTTTCATGTGGATCAAGTGTTACTTAATTTGTATTTGCAAGTTCTTGGTCTTAATTCTTGTCACAGGATCTTGGCCTCTGTTTTCTTTTCCCCTTCACCACGCGCGTGCTCGTGAAACTTAATTTCCCACGTTTTCCACACAAGCCCTCTTGCATTTTGTATAAGAAAAATTGAAAGCTTTCTCTGAATGGACTAGCTTCATACTGTCTCCAATCTCTTGAGGTAAACCTCTCTTTGCTTATAATAACATGTCGATTTCTTAAATTCAATACTCTGTTTTGTTCCACTTGTTTATTTTTGTCTTTCTTTGGATGATGAAGATCAGATAGACTCTCACGTTTCTTTCACTTTGCTAAATATCTCTCTTTCATTTATCATTTAGTCATTTAATATTTGTTTGAACATAGTAATCTTTTATTTGTGTTGGAGGGCCACACACCAATAAACTGGCCGAGCAGAGAAAGAAAGTGACACTCCAACAACAATAAGCCAATGCTTTTATTTGTCTTCTTCATTGCCCACAAACAGTTGGCAGTTTAGCCATTAGTGTTTCATTTACAGTTTTAGAATTTTAGATAATAATCTGTTAAGATCTTTCATCTGCATTATGCATCAGAATCCATTCAATATTTTACGTGAGTAATGTTGAATCTCCATTATTAGATCACTTTTCACTTATCTTTTTGTTCCATTTTATAGATGATTTCATATTACTTTTATGTGGGGGTCAATGGAGTCCCATTTAAAAGTAGCAAGAATCTTGGACTGATTCAACATAGATCCTTTCTATCAAGTTGTTCTTAACTCACTGATCCATCGCTACGTCTGAAGAATCTGTTTATTCAATGGAGGCTTGTTAGCCTTCTGTTTTTTTAGTAACATATATGGTGAAACTACTAGGAACTAACTAGTTCTTTTGCTATGTGAACTTCATGATCGTCACAATGTCCTAATGGAAAGTTTACAAAAGCAAGAGTTGTATGAAGATCAACCGTTTTCGATTCGGCTTGAAGCTTCCCTTTTCAAACTGAGAGGTATCCTCTTCATACCCTCCCCTTCTTCCACCAATAAGCAGAGAACATGTTCTTCATGGGTAGATGACACATGCAACAATTGACTCTAGCAGACCTTGATGAAACTATCCCTGACAGTCTTTGTTGATTTAATCAGAAACCAAACTGGCCTAAGCCGACTCAGTTGAGTTTGTTTGGTTTGATACTAAAGTGAAAATTACTGAAGAAAACTAAAGGGTTCATGAAGTCATTGAACTTGGTCTCAGCAACCGTAATGGAGAAAAATGCCCTCATCTCTTATCCTGTATGAGAGTAACACAGAACAATGCAGAAACCTGGAAACACCTTGTCTTGCACTTCAGGATCTGCAAAGTTACACAAACCGAACGGCATCTACACTGGTTATCTCTAAATCCAAATGAGCTTTTGAACTTGAGGTGAAAAAAGCTAGAATCTTGAGTACCACCCTTCATGTCGATCAACAACTTGTCTGCATTTACTTTGGCTAAAACGGAGCGACAGACAAATGCAGTAGCATTTGTAGTGCTGAATACAACACTAGGAATTTGAAACTCTTTAGCTGCAGCTTTTGAGAAGAACATGTACTCATCATAGACAACACAAGCAATATATCTTGTTCCTGCGATAGTTGACCTAAACAGTGCTTGAAGCTTGCCTCGCAGATTTGATTGAGGTTGATGAGAAACTGGAGTGCTACTAGGTTTTTTAAATCAGACTCAGGTAAACTCGATTATAATCAAGTCTTTGGAAGAGCTAACTCGATTATACTGTGTCTGAACAACAGTGATTGAGAATCCCTTCAAGTGAAGAGCTTTCCCGAGTTGCATCACCGGTGTTTTACATGACCTTGTGCTGGAACTGGAACTAACAATATCCTTTTCTTCACTCGTTGTTCCTCCACTGCTAATCTCTCTTGTTCTCTCAATGTAGGAACAGAAGAATCTCGAAGGGGCAGGTGGGGATGCTTTCACCTGTATTCGGTCTGAACTGATCTGATATATACATTTACTGTTCTTTGGGCTTAAGATTTTTAATTTCAGATTTGATGATTTGTGGTTGGGGAAAGCTCACTGTATAGACTAAGCTATAATTGT